ACAATTATTGTAATTATCTTAATCGATCAAGAAAATATTCAACAATTATGTAATTTTAAATATTTTAACTAACAATACTTCAAATATGACTATCATAACTGATAAAGAAAGGTACATAATAAATTAATAAATAAATAATAATAATAATAATAGTAATAATAATAATAACAATAACTAATAATAATAATAATAATAATAATAATAATAATAATAATAATAATAATAACACACTTACAATAACAATAATCAATACACCTACACCTACACAAATGCGAGAAACGCCAAGGACACGCTACCGGTATGTTTCTATTAGGAGCTACACACCTATTATGTGACGCGTAGCAAACGCACGAATGATAGCTGACGTGGCCTCATTTAGGCCAACTCGAACCTCGTTGCAACTAAACTATCTCAGAAAGAGGTATTTTTTACAACCATTGAATAATAATAATAATAATAATAATAATAATAATAATAATAATAATAATAATAATAATAATAATAATAATAGGAAGCCTACGATTGCGTTTTCGTTTTAAACGTGCTAATGTGAAGTCTTATTCAATCACTTTCCAACGATTTCATAAATGGATGCATGATGCATACTTCACGTTTCCTTTTAAAATCGTCCAAGATACCGCTTAACGATTATATACAGTAATTTGATTTGACAATACTTACTTGTAATAAATTAACATGTTACAAAATAGTCTTATTATCTAAAACTAGTTTAAAGGCAATTTTTTAACGCAACAAATGAAGTGCACACTCGAATAAAGCCACTTCAAATATAACGGCAAACGCATGCGAAAGCTTAGCTGACGCAAAGTGATGGCAAAGCTTGGAACAAGCCCAACTCTTCTTTTTTTTTTCGGAATAGGGGAATGAGACAATATGGTACAGTCGCCTCATGCTCTGCGTTTGTGTCAAATCCTTTTGGTCTGTCTGACATGGTCTGACAATAGATGTTTTCCTTCACGTTCGTCGATCATACGTCTCATAAACGCCATCATCGTTTAGTCCCTGACCATTAGGTTTCGATTTTGATGGCACATGTTTGAATATTGTTTTTGTGATATCTGTAGACGCATACGGAACAGTTGGCTCCTCTATCGGAATGTTCTTAGACCATTCTTTCGGTAATTGCACATACATGTAGCTCATATCTCGTGGTTCAGTAGCAGGATATTTGGACGTGTCTACAGTACGACTGACGGCGACGGGTTTTCTCTGTTCTGAAATTTATGAAAAGATAGCATCCGCGTATAAATAGTTAAAAATGTATATCACATGACTTCGTTGCAAAGTCATTAGTGAACATTGATTATCAAATACGACTGATATTAAGAAATTCTAAACCTTGATATTCATAGTTAATAAAAATGTTTTGATTCGAAGCCATGACCTTCTAATTTACCGTTTGGACTCTATCAACTGTGCCATGAGCTCAAGTGATTTACACTTCTTTTCATATAATTTTCAATTTTATTCTTTCATATCCTTTATTCAAAATTGAATCACAGATTTGCGGATGAATATTTATTTATTTATATAACAATACATTATAGAGTTATTAAACTGAAAACAATTAAAAAATATATAAAATTGATTAATGACAGTAACATACACAATGAATGGGCAAAAACTGTAAAAAAAAAAATAAACATTAGTACAACCACATTTTGATATTATTTAAAAAAATGTATTTCTAGAACATCTAAAATTTATCGAATAATAAAAACATTATAATAATAAAATTATGAAATAAAAATCAACTCTTGGATATTCGCATGGCAGTGTGTAGGCCCCCTAATAAGCATATATTATATGATATGATATTTTGTAGGCCTACGTAATATGGATGTTTGTACCTATGCACTAGAACTTTGTGATTATTTCCGGCAGTTTGTTTAAAATAAACTTAATGAAATAAATGCAGTAATGCATCTAATAAAGTAGAGGAAACTTATGAACGACATGTTTCGACGTGTTCCACGTCATCATCATCAGGTAATAACGCTTATGCTACTAACGGTTTAAATAGGCCTACTACCAGTCAGATGTAAGACGAAACAAGCAAATATTAAGTCAATGTACATAGAGGTCAGGAATAGTATGGTAAGTAATGTATATAGGAATTAGAATAAGAGAGTGATATTGTAATAATAATAATAATAATAATAATAATAATAATAATAATAATAATAATAATAATAATAATAAATAATAGTGTAGTTTAATATAGTGCACATCTCCATCTATTGTAAGATGCTCAGGGCGCTTGATATGTGGACTAAGAACTCGACCAATGAGTTGTTTGTTTGTTCAGTGACGGATTTCCCCAAGCAATGTAAAGGGCTTGATAAATATTGTGGGCGGAGTCAAGAATAGTAAAACAGTTTGAATTAGATGTGTTTTGACATTTAACAGAGTGTGAAGATGTTAAAATATATGTGATGACTTGTCCCGAACTAAATGCTCCTTAATCCGTGTTTCTAAGTGTCTATTGGTCTCGCCAATATACACGGATTACACCCCGCGCAAGTAAATGTGTAGACAACACGGGCACGGATATTAGTTGGGACATCATTAAAAAAAATGATAATTTAAATGACTTGAAAGCAAGTCTGACATTAATGTTCGAGCAATAATTTTTGACCATAACGTTAATTTTTCGTTGACAATAGTTTGATAATGGTGTATAGGATAAAAATAATAATAATAATAATAATAATAATAATAATAATAATAATAATAATAATAATAATAATAATAAATAATAATAATAGCGTAGTTTAATATAGTGCACATCTCCATCTAATGTAAGATGCTCAGGGCGCTTGATATGTGGACTAAGAACTCGACCAATGAGTTGTTTGTTTGTTCAGTGACGGATTTCCCCAAGCAATGTAAAGGGCTTGATAAATATTGTGGGCGGAGTCAAGAATAGTAAAACAGTTTGAATTAGATGTGTTTTGACATTTAACAGAGTTTGAAGATGTTAAAATATATGTGATGACTTGTCCCGAACTAAATGCTCCTTAATCCGTGTTTCTAAGTGTCTATTGGTCTCGCCAATATACACGGATTACACCCCGCGCAAGTAAATGTGTAGACAACACGGGCACGGATATTAGTTGGGACATAGTCTTTTACATTTAAAAAAAATGATAATTTAAATGACTTGAAAGCAAGTCTGACATTAATGTTCGAGCAATAATTTTTGACCATAACGTTAATTTTTCGTTGACAATAGTTTGATAATGGTGTATAGGATAACTTGAAATGAGAAGGTTGTGTTTGCGTTTAAGGAGGATCCAAAGTGGTGGGCGATAGTTTTCTGTTCAGATAGTTAGGCCTATGTTTGTTTTATAAATGAATGAAATCGGATAACATTTTTTTGAAAAGTGAGTACAAGTTTTCTTAAATCGTTATGAAAACCCAACCATGTGTTGTTGATTTTGAATGTACTGTCAATTAGAGTGCGTAGAAGTCCGAGTTCATATGTACGTGACGTAAAGCTATGGAAATTTGTTAACAAACCTGTATACGTTTTCTTATGATAGACTGAGGTTATTAATGAGTTATGAACCGACTTATCTAAAAGAATGTCAAGAAATGGTAATTTTTGGTGAATCTAATTGATGGGTTTTGTGAATTTGAAAAATCGAAAACAAAGTATCGTGTTCAAAGTTAAATAAGCAAAAAACATCATCAACATAACGTCGGTAAAAAAGAACGGGTGCATGAGTAAACGATTTTATCCAGGATTGTTCATGGTGTCTTATGAAGGGGTTAGCTAGGGCATTTCTTAAAAAATAGTTTTTCCTTTTTAATTTAACAATTGTAATTTTGGAATTCTTTAGTGTTTAGTGACTGGTTCCTCAAATCATATGCCTGCCTTTTATATATATTTTTATATATTTAACTACTCTAGGCTACAGTCCAAAGTTGCAATAAATATGATTGGATTTGAGTTGATTTGATATAGTCATCACAAGAAAAAGGGAATCTGTTCCTTGTTACCATCGCGAAAATAGTTTATATAATACTACGGTAGTTTTATAAATACTACGGTATATAACATTCAGCATACTATCTTTCTAAAACATCCGGGATACACTTTATAAGCAGAATATCATTATTATCGCAACGGCTGACAAATACATGCATAAAAAATAACAATGCATTGCAGAAATAAGCATTAAAAAATAATAATTAGATATGAAAAGTAGCAGAAAATAAAGTTATCTTACCTGCTGACTTCTGGACACGGGGTTCTTCCGAGCCATTTACCTGCTCTGAGCCTGACTGACAAGGGCCTAGATAATTTATTTTCAACGTAATAAACATTAAGACACTATACTAAATAATCTGTATACTAAATAATTTGGTATTTTTTCTTTTCTTAGACTCGTTATACATATATATATATAGGCTATAAATAAATATATATAGGGTATATATGTATATGTATATATATACATATATATACCTATATATACATATGTATATATATAGGCCTATACATATATACACACATATATACATATATATATATATACATATATACATTATGTACACATATATATACATATACTTACATATATATAAATCATCAAAGAAAGGTATAAAGTGTTTAAATAAAAGACATAATAATACATCGTGATTTATATATAATTTAACAGTGTTAACGGCTATCTTGATTTATATTACATACATATATATATATGCATCATATATATATACATCATATATATATATACATCATATATATAACGTTTAAAATTTATTAATTTAAATTTAAACTTAAAATTGATTTATATTACATACATATACATATATATATATACATCATATATACATCATATATATACATCACATATATAACGTTTAAAATTTATTTATATATACTGTTTATATGTACAGTATAAAATGTATATATATTTCATTTATATTCAGTACGTTTAAAGATATAATAAAAGACATATAAAAAATTC